TGTGAGAGGGAAGAAGGTGCGCCGGAACCCCCGTGTCGGAGGGTTCGATGAACTTGAACGCCAGCGCCGGGCGGGGCTTCACCTGCCCAGCGCCATTGGGGCTCTGCGCGGGCGTCACCCCCGAGCGGATCCTAACCAAGGGCCCCATCTCCGTCGGCATCGGCTGCTACACCACCACTATCTCAGCCCCTCCGTCTATCCCAAAAGAAACAAAAGAAAACTTACCGGACCATCAACATTCCTGACCCTCCCCTCCCAATGGCTCCTCACATCCAATTTCCCGCCATACGGGTTCGTCCCAAACAAATGGATCGTCCCCTTCCTCGTCCCCATTGCCACCCACCGCCCATCCTTGCTCCACTCCAAGTTCTCCACCACCGCAGAGGTACGCCCCCGGCGGAGGTGGTATGTTGCCCATGCTGAACCCTCTTTCTTCTCGGACGCGGGTAGGGAGGAGTGTGGCTGCGGGCGGATGGAGTAAACACGGACGCCGGTCCCGTCCCTCGGAACAGCGCCCAACGAACACCCGTCCGCCGTGAACGACAACCTTGAAAGGGGACGGTCGCGCTCTACAGCGATCTCAAGCACTGTCTCCGGCTTCCTCCCCGCCCCACCTCCCCTCAAAAGCGGTGCCAGATCCAACACCGTAACCACCGTGGCTCCTGCTACCGCATTAACACCCCCACCGTCCCCGGGAGAGACCGACACCTCCCTCTCTCTCTCCCTCTCCCCTCCCGTGCCCCCATCTACCCGCCCCCTCCTCTCAGGCGCACTCCTCGAAAAGAACCTCCCCACTCCTACCCCAGGCCCCGCTCCCACCCCTCCCGCAGGACTCATATTCAAATCCACACTCCCCATCCTGCTCCGGGCGGCACTTACAGCCAACCCGCCAAGGGTACGCATTCCGCCCCAGACGCTCTGAGCCGCAGTCTGAGCCGCAGTCTGCAGTTGGTGATGCTGATGTTGGAGATGCGGGGAGTTTCTTGGTGCGATGGAGGTAGGTGAAGAGGAGGGGATGGAGGCATATGCCAGCAGCCTGTGTGACAGTGCGTAGATGGGCCTCGGAGGCGCTAATAATACAGTGTTATAGATATCGTTGTTGTTGGTGTTTAAGTTGTCGTTCGAAGTGGTAGTGGTGGTGGTTTGAATAGAGTTAGTCGGTGCGTGCGTATCGTACATGGTATCATCGGTGTTCTTGCGTGTGTCTCTTGCCGTATCTCTCGTTCTCGAATCTCTTGGCGGGGCGGGATACCCATAAGCCGCATTCGCCTGCTGCAACGACCCCAAGGCGCCCCTGACCGCACTACTAAGCATCGCCTTCGCAGTGCCCACGCCCACACCCACACCCCCAGGGGCCTGCTGCGCAATGGGTGGCGGGGGGGCGTACAGCGCGAGCCTCGCTCCGGGGATCTCCAGGAGCAGCTCGTAGCTCGTCGAGGAGAAGACGTGTAGGCCTGGTGGGGAGGTCGTGCTCTACATCACATTCCCATCATCATCAGTAGGGGAAGAGGGAAAGGGAAGGAGGGCAAAAACGCACAACGACAACGACCTCCTTACTCGCCTCAAAGGCATCTATGCTAGCCCCACCTGCGGCTTTCCAGGTCCCGCCTCCGCGCGCGGGGGCAGGGAGGGACGCGTGTCCGACTTGGAAACGCGTGAATACGCGGTGGGTCGTGAGGGAGTAGACGATGAATGTGCCAGTGGAGAATCTACGGGGAGAAAGATGGTGGGTTAGGGTTCATTCGGGCATGGAGACTAGTAAGAAAAAAGTAACGAAAGCCAAATCTTGAAGAATGGGAAAGTCGCGCAAGGGAAAGATAACCCAAAATAAAAATAAAAATAAATAAGAAACCAACATGACGTCATCCCACCCACCCCAGCCCCCTCTCCAAGCCATTACCAGCCAACGCAGCACACAACTCATAACACACGGCAGCACAGTCCGCTCCAGCCCACTGCCACCACCGTCAACAAACCAAACCATGCGTGCGGGCTCATGATGACGTCATGTCCCATCCCAACCACGACATCGGCCACAGAGGTCGCAGAAAGGGTGCCGAAAACGAGGGAAGAAGGGGGACGCGTGGGACTTGAGGGGGCATAGGGCCGTAGTCACGGGAAGGAACAATAATAATAAGAGCCGAAAATAAACTGTGCCCAACCCAAAGGCCGCAAAAGAAAGAAGGCAAGACGAGCGACGCCGTAAGAAAATCAAAGAAAGGGCGAAACGCAACACAAATGACAAAGCCCGAAAGTGAGCTACGACAAGGAAATGGGGAACAGCGAAAGCACGAAAATCCAGCTGGCAGGGAACGACCAAATGAAAAGACGAGGTAGAAGAACGTCACGGAAAAGCAAGTGGAAAGGGGGGGGAACACAAACGAAATTGCTCCGTCAGGATGAGACGAAGAAGAAGAAACAGGGAACGAAGAAACGTCATTTGTTGGCATAAACCAAAGAAAAAAGAAAGACGAAAGACGAAGCTTGGCAAGGGGCGACGTCACGGAACGGCGGAAAAAAAGAGAAAGGAAAAGGGAGCAACACCAGAAGACGGCGAAGCTCGAACGAGAAGCCGAGGAACAACGAAAACGCAAACGAAGAGGGTATCAACAAATGAACGAAGAAACGAACGACACTCACGCAATTCCAATCCTCCCCTCCCGATCTTTCCCCGGAAGCACAGCAGCCCCCACGATCTCCCCTTCCACATCAAAGGACGAAAGCGGCACCCTCACCACCTCCGCCACACTCCCCAGGTCTGCCGTGTCCCAGATCCTCAGCGTCGAGGGGTAGCCTACAAGGAGGAGCCTCGTCCTCCTATTTGGAAATGTCCCAGTATCAGTAATAACAACAGAGTGGAAACAAAGGGACGAAAACGTACCCGAGCTCGTCCCACCTCGCCCACAAAACCTCCTCCTCCTTCGATTTCCTGCGCACAGGGGCAGCAGGTACCCGATGTTCGACCCCACCTTTGCCGGGCGCCGCCGTTCCCAAATCCACAACAGGCACCGCAGCCTTTGCAGCGGGCGCGAAGCGCTTCCCCACCCCGCTCCCCGTTCCTCCTTGTCGAGAAGGCGACACAGCGGCCCTGATAGTCCTTGCAAGCCCCGACACATTCCTAGAGGGCGAAAAAGAACCAGGAGAGGCGGACGAGGATGAGCGCGCAGGGGGGGAAGGGGACGGGAGACCTGTGTATGATGTAGGGGAGGTCGGGGAGAAGCCGTAGGCGTAAGAGAATGGGTCTCGCTCCTCATGTTCCTCTTGGGGGACAGAGGGAGGGGGAACGAATGCAGCGGGGGACGTGTGCACGTGGCTTACGCTTGGCCGGGGGGCCTTCCTCTGGACTGGAGGGGCCGGGGTGTGATTGAACGTGGTGGGAGAGGTCAAGTCGAACGTGGTGTGATGAGGAGACTGCGGGTGCAGAACGTACTCGTGCTCCCCCGAGACGAGCTGGGGCGTCTGGGAGCGCGGGACCGGTATCGGGATAGGCGGCGCGTCGGGCTCTGTCTCCTTCTCGGGTTCGAGCTCTTCCTCTTCGAGATAAGGGATGCTGAGCGCGAGGCTGTTAGAGAGGTCAGCTAATGTCTCCAAGATATTGGGCAATTGATAGCGGAAATTGTCGTATGAAGGCATGATAAGGGAAGGATTCGTCAAAGGGCGAATCAAAGGGAGACGACGAGCGACTGCGGGAAGGGCTGCATCCCACGTTGTCCTCGTTAGACGAGATGAAATAGACGCCAAACTTACCCAACACGGTCTTCGATAGGAGGTCCCACTCCCTCCCTCAGTTCCTCCCTTTCTCTTTCACCTCCCTCCGCGAAATCCACAAGCTGGGGTTCCGGCTCAACAGGGGGCGTAGCAACGGGCTTATTCTTCGGTGAGCGGGCATTCTTGCTAGGGCGGGCGGGCATTAAAGGGGGTGTCGTGTGTTGTAGTACGAGAAGATGGGAGTAGGGAGAAGGTGAGTCAGAAGATAACCACCGAGTAGTGTCCGTTCGAGTCAATTCAAATCAGTCAATAGAAAGTCTAGAGATTCGTTTATGCAGAATAGAGAAGAAAGCCGTTGCAAGTGAATGCAACAGCGTCAAGTATGGAAACTGGTGATTGTGTGATAAGTCAGTTGTAGTGGCCAAAAGACAAGCCCCTCCAGCGGCGTTCCCCACCCAACGAACGGCGCCCTTATCGGGTCCAATGTCACATGCTCATCAATCCAAATTAAGCAACGCCGCCGCTCCGTGTTCCGATCATCCCATCACTCGCTGTTTTTCCATACAACGTTGAACGAGTCCAACTTCTCGCTGACTCCAACGTGCGCAACGACAGAGGCCCCGCACGTACCTCGCTAACTTACCAGCTTCGAACTCGCATCGCACATGTGTGTGTCAATCACCTCAAATTACCCCGCCCATCAAAGCATTGTACAACGTGCATGATCATCACTACAGGGACCCTCCGACAGCAGCGAGCGCTATTAGTTGCGCGAAGATCAGGGCATCCCTATCTCCCCCCGCTTCCCTCTCAGGACGCTCGGAATCAGGAAACGCCGTGGTGGGTATTTAAACTAACTATAGACTTCAAACTCAAAGGTTACGGTTTCGATGGCTCTCACGGACTCCTGGCGCTCGGCCCTGTCCTGTCAGTATCTGTTCAAATCCATCGTCGCCCCAGATCTGCCGGTGCAGGCGCCTATCACTATATCACTATCAGGAGTCTATTGGTATCAGCATTCTCCAACTTCGATCTCCTCGTGGCTTTCGCGTGCTGTCTCTTGATTCTTCTGGGGCTTTGGCGTGGGGCACAGTGGAACCGGGCAAGGCCTGGTGGTGTAGGTGGTAGCACGCCCGAGATGCATTACAATCCTTGTCACTAATGTGGTCTCTCAGGGAGAGCCCTGTTCGAACCAGGGCCAGGCCGTTATTAAGTTGCAGCCATCGTTCCCTTCCCACTCGCCTGCGTTCTGGTACCTCGGTCGTCCACGCGAAGGAAAAATCATATATCAAGGCCTGGTAGTGTAGGTGGCAAGCACACCCCACATGCATTGTCGTTGTCGTCACTTCTTTATATGATGTCTTAGGGAGCGCCCTGTTCGAACCAGGGCCAGGCTGTAGGGCATTCCAACAAGTGTTTTTACAAATTGCACTGACCCCTCCGAAGAATGACATCCCACTTCCAAATCCCACCATGCCCTCTGTCTTTATCCACACACCTGCCCGTGATCTCTGATGCTCGAGTTATACGCGTCCGAACACAACGTTAGGGGGGGTCAGGCTCCTCAATTCATGGTAGATTCGTGCAATGATTCAAAGTTGATGCGAAAACTCTGAATCGCCCTATGATCCTACATCGCTGTCTGCTCTGACCTCCCCGATTCCGTATGTTTCGAAACGGCGATTTAGGACACGATTCCACTGGTTATGACTCGGAGCGTGCGATGATTGATTGCTTCAAGGCTGACGAGTCACTGACTGCTATATCGACTCCCTGGGTAAGCAGGAGGAATGTCCTCTCCCAATCTCCGCAACGCGCCAATCTCGCGTCGCAACATCGCCACCTCTCTATGCAACTCCTGGATTCCACTGGTAGGCCCTGATGCCATTGGCGGGTGTTCACTCAATTGCACGAGTTCTTCGCCAATGCCCTGAGTGTTTTCGGCTTGAGGCGGAGGTGATGCAGGCGGGTTCGCTACCTCGTTGACGTTGATGGCGGGTTTGTGGATCGGGACTAGGTATGGGATCTGAGAGACATTATCCCCTGTCAGATCCTCAGTTTGGGGATGGTTACGGCTGCGCCGCTTGTGCTGTGGGCGTGGCTTGTTCGATGATGGGCTCGTTTCACTTGAACTGGACCTAGTGTGAAGTATGCCACCCTCACTTCTCAATTCCAGGACTGTGGCGACGTCGTTGACTCGTTCCTCAGTCAAAGTTCCTTCCACGTATTCACTGGAGGCACCTGCCGAGGCCGGAGAGCCGTCAAATGGATTCAGTGTAACCAGTTTATCTGTGGTGCTCATTAGGATTATCTCATGGGACCAGATACTGGCAGCTTACCGTTCCTTCTCGACCGGCGCCGCATAAAGAGCAACCCCAATACCACTAAGATGATGACGACCACAGCGGAAATTACGCCTACGATCACCCCGATAGGCGCTGCCTTTGACGATGAGGTTTGCGAGGCAGGGTTTATGGATGCGCCTGTGGGCGCGGGGGCATCAGTAGCAGTCGAGTTCATTTGGGGGATGAAAAGAGTTGTCCCCGCCGGCGGATGAGCGGTTTCTTGGTTGGCCGTCCCCCCCGGTGGGGTACGCGCCTCTGACGATGGGTTCTGCGATATGCCTATGGACGGGGAGACATCACTCGAAGTTGAGGTACTGGGATTTATTGTGATATCTGTTCTCGGTGAGGAAGGGATTTGGCCTGAGGTCAGTGCCAGCAGTTTTACCGGATGTCACTGACAAACCTGTGGTTCCCGGGAGGTCGCTGGGTGATGCGAAGGGGTCGGTTTGCGGGAAACGGGCTCTGTGCCCCTGCCTAGCGGCAATAAAAGTAGTAATACTTGGTGTCGGTGATGTAGCCATTTTGGCGGCTCAGAGAGGGGGCTTCTTAAGGATCGATTGTCTGTGATGTTGCAACGGAGATTATTGAAAGCGTATAGCTCACTACACGTGGTACCAGAGGTCAAGAGTTATATGAAATCTCACAAGGGCAAAAGAGGAGGAAAGGGAATCTTCCACGACTTTGAGGGTTGGGGTGGTGAGAACCGTCAGAAGTTGCTTCACAGTGGACCAGAGGACTTTTAAAGCGGTGTTGGGAACACTCCATCACATCTTGAAGAAGCATTATTCGCTTCAGCGAGCTATATTCATCTCTTGAAGAGGTGTGGGGGAATTTGGAAACAACGACTCATGCATACTTATCCGCCCCATTACATTACCTTTTCGCATGGCATGTATAAAACATAGACCACACGGAGAAACAAGGAGGTATTTCTATAGGAAGAGGGTGCCGGGAGCACACAGAGTGACAGTGGTTAATCACATTATGATTATCATCCCATCGTTTCACAATACCTCCACTCCAGCGCATCTGATCACACTTTCGCACTAGAAAAATCTATATCTTTGTCCACGTCATGCAACATACAAGACAAGACAAGGACGCAGTCTGGGAGGTCCCCAGGTCGACGCTAATGCGACGGTAGAAAAACGATCTGTAGATACTATGGGGTAACCCGATGTGCAACCAGACCCTCTGAAAAACATGAAAACATGAGATCCATTTTCTTAATCGTCTGGCAAATAAATCATATAACCTTTGGGTAGTATTCGGGAGATGCTGCGGACTCGAAGTGGGTAAACAGCCGGTCATTGGGAGACAGGAAAAAGAAGGGCGTGAACTGCGTCGGAGGGTTCGATGAACTTGAACGCCAGTGGGCAGGGCTTCACCCACCCACTGCCATTGGGGCTCTGCGCGGGCGTCACCGACCGAATCCCAACCAAGGGCCCCATCTCCCAGTGGCTCCTCACATCCAATGTCCCGCCATACGGGTTCATCCTCAACAAATGGATCGTCCCCTTCCTCGCCCCCATTGCAGCCCCCCGCCCGTCCCTGCTCCACTCCAGGCTCTCGATCACCGTGGAGGTGAGCCCGCTACCACCACCAACAAACCAAACTAACCTTCCTGCAGGCTCATGACGACGCCACGCCCCATATCCCGACACGACAACGACGACCACAGAGCTCGCAGAACGAACGGTAACGAAAACGAAGAGTGAAAAGGGACTGCGCTCGGAGCTTGAGGAGCATAGATAGGCCATCGTCATGGGAAGGAACAATAATAATGACAGCCGAAAAGTAAAATGTGCCCAACCCAAAGGCCGTGGGGGAAAGAAGACGCAAAAACAAAAAACAAAAACCAAAAACCAAAACACCAGCAAAGGCGAAATGACCACAAAACGAAACGCGACCCGAATGACGAAGCTCAGAAGTAAGCTGCGTGAGGATAAGGCAAGAAAAAGGGAAAGAAGATGCAGGGAAGGCACGACGATCCAGCCGCCAGGGAAGGACCAAATGAAAAGACGAAGATGAACGTCACGGAAAAATAAGCGGCAAGGGGGGAAACACCAACGAGCTCGTTCCGTCAGCATAAGACAACGAAGAAACAGGGAACGCCACGGCCCCTGCTGGCATAAACCTGGAAAAAAGGAAAGAAAGACGAAAGACAAAGCTTAGATAGGGGCAATGCCATGCGACGGCGGGGAAAAAGAGAAAGGAAAAGGGAGCACAGCCCGGTGAACCCGGGACATAGGGATAGAGAACGAGAGAAACTGAAGCTTGAACAAGAAGCCGAGGAACAACAATACGAAAACGAAAACGAAGAGGGTGCCAGCAAAAGAACGAAGAAGCACAAGTCCCAATCCTCCCCTCCCGCTCATTCTCCGGCAACACAGCAGCCCCCACTATCTCGCCTTCCATATCCAGGGACGAGATCAGTACCCTCACCACCTCCGCCACACTCCCCAGATCGGTCGTGTCCCAGATCCTCAGCGCCGAGGGGTAGCCTACGAGAAGGAGCCTCGTGCTTCTATTTAAAACGTCCCAGTATCAGTGATAATGATAATAACGCAGGAAAAGAAACGACAGAAACGACAACGTACCTGAGTTCATCCCACCTCGCCCACACAACCTCCTCCTCCTTCTCCTTCGATTTCCTCCGCGCATGAGCAGGGGCAGCAGGCACCCAATACTCGATCCTCCCTTTACCAGGCGTCGCCGTCCGGAGATCGACGATGGGCACCGCCGCCTTCGCAGCTGGCGCGAACCTCTTCCCCGCTCCTCCTTGTCGAGAGGGCTACATGGCGGCCCTGATGGTCCTCGCGAGCCCCGACACATTGTTAGTGGGCAAAGAAGAGCCGGAGAGACGGACGAGGATGAGCACAGAGGGGCGAGGGCAACGGGAGACCTGTGTATGATGTGGGCAAGGCGGGGGAGAAACTGTGGGGGTAGGAGAATGGGACTCTCTCCTCCCTTTCTTGGTCATGCACGTGGCTTACACCTGGTCGTGGGGCCAGAGAAGGGTTGGGGTTGAAGTCGAAGGAGAATGGGTGGTGCAAAGGTTGCAGGTGCAGAATGTACTTGTGCTCCCCCGATACAGCGAACTAGGGCATCTGGGAGCGCGGGACTGGTATTGGGATCGGCAGCGCGTCCATGTCGGGGTCTGTCTGATTCTCGGGTTCGAGCTCTTCCTCTTCAAGATAAGGGATGCTGAGCGCGAGGCTGTTTGATATATCAGCTAATGTCTCTAGAATATTAAGTCTAGAGGTTTGTTTATGCAGAAGAGAGAAGAACGCCGTTACAAGTATATGAAACAGCGTCAAGTATGGTAACGGGTGATTGTGTGACGCGTCTGTTGTGGATCCAAAAGACAAACCCCTCCAGCGGCGTTCGAAATGGCGCCTTTATCAGGTCTTACGTCACATGCTCATTCCCTCCTTCCCAATCGGGGAAAGTCGTCGCTCCGTGTTCCGATCATCCCGTCGCTCCCCGTTTTTGCTGTTCAACTTCCAAGTTCCAAGTTCCAACGTTGAATGGGCGCCTCAACTGACTCCAACGTACACTGTGACAGAGGCCCTGCACATAGATTGTTAACTTACCAGCTTCGAACTCGCATCGCACATGTGTGTGTCTCAATCACCTCAAATTGCCCGCACTCATCAATGCAATAATTGAATGTGTTGTACAACCTGCATGATCGTCACTGCAGGGACCCTCACACAATGACGAGTGCTATTAGTGGCGCGAAGATCAAGACTTCCTCCTTCCCTTACCACGCCTACCCCAAAATACATCCCTATCACTCTCCGTCTCCCCCCCCCTCCCCCGGACGCTCGGAGAATTCTGTGCTTGGCCTTATTCAGATTTTACATAGACTTCGACGTGAATGAAAGCCTGCACGTTGTGGTAACGATGGACCCATGGCCTCTGTCATTATCCACACAACTGCCCGTGATCTCTGTTCTCTGTTCTTGAATTACGCATGTTCGAACACAAGGCCTGGTGGTATATCAGAAACACGCTCAAATGACAAGCATGAATAAACACTCTATTCG